GTTCAACAAACCTGTTTATAGATATTAGTAAATTCTGAATTCTCATCCAATGACCCCTCATTGTTGAAAACTTGCCTGAAATTATCAAGGAAAACAATAATAATAAGAAAAATAAATAAATAAAAGAAGGAATCAAGAATTAACAAGAAAACATTACAGTTGGTTTCTTTTTGTTCTACAAGGGCTGCCCACCTTGCTGCCCATCCAAATGGCATGGTGTAACGACCTAGTCTTCTACAACAGATTTCAGCAAGCTTCTGTACTTTCCCTGTTGTCTTCTTGATGTCGCCTGACTTGATGTACGGCTCAACACAGGATCCTATACTACCTTGTAACACTTTATCTATTCGTACGACTACATAGACTTCTGGGTGAGGACACGTGACTGAGAATATTGCCTGAAAAACGTATTTATTTAAGTGACTTGTGGGTTTAACTGAACATTATAAAGCAGACTTTTTTCCACTATAGATAGCCATTTGAGAATAGTGGAAGCATTGGAATGAGAATGTTTGATTTATGCAAATAATTATAATAACAGTTGCGCACTTGACATTTAATAAATAGAAAGTGGGAAATTGGAAAATATGAAAAAAAAACAACAACAAGTACATACATTAGTAGGATGACAGTCCTCCATTTCCCGTTTGTTAGTCCTCCTTCGTTTCTCTTCAGAGCTAGCATCTCCATTGGTTTCACCATATTCTATAAAGTCACTTCCTCTGAGCATATCTGCTACTCTTGGATCATTTAAGTCACAATGGAAGTCTTCAGAAAGTTTCATSCCYTTTTTAACATCAAATAACGCGAGCCTCAAGAAAAATGGCTCAATATTCGTCTCTTCACCATTTGAATTTGTATTAACTAAACGGAATTTCAAATCTTTACAAGAGACAACAAATCGAGTCCCAAAGTTCTCTTTGTACACAGTAGCATCAACCCTCGCATCATCAACACTGGCGCACGGGTTGCTGTCTAAATCACGGACTAAAGAAAACAATTTATATCTRTTTTCTCGGCGTCTTTTAGCATTTTGTACATCAGTTTCCTTGGAATATTCTAAAAGTAATGGATGTTTGCTGTTCTTGAGACTTTCTCGTAGAGATTGACTTTGTTTTGTGGGAAGTCTTGCTTTAACTGAGAATGATATCCCGGTGGATTTGCCACAAGTATCAATGTCGATTCCTGTTACCCGACATAAACATGCCATCCATTGGTCCATATCATTTTGACTGTCGGCCACAAGACTGTACGTTTTGTCATGAATGTGAAGTTCAAAGCCATACATCTTGCCTTTAACACCCTACACAAATAATAGTAATATAGCTTTGTTTTATAAGTTTAATTAGTGATACAGTGATACACTGAATGTTTATAAGGGTAGAAGGGATGATGAGTTTTGGTTAGTAATATGACTAACCTTCGAGATGTGAGTACAAGAATCAAGGTATATAACTCCTCGTGCCGTAGTTGCATGATCATCCTATTAACAAATGGAGCAAAAATAAATAATATTATAAATGGAATAATAATAATCAGTATCATAAGATTAATAATGATTATTGCTAGAAAGGAACAATGAAATTTGACACAAGAAAAACTTGTATTCTATATTGTAAAGTAACAAATGCTATAAATCCATCAATACTGTACATGATTGTTACATAATGTCTACTGACCTTTCGATATTCTAATACGTATGAGCCATCACTGGATATTTGCTTCAAGTTAAACCATCGCCGTTTATATATCTGAAATCATATTAACCAGTATAATAAGACCTGTCAATCAAACTGACAAACAAACAGGCTACTTTCCTAACCCAGGCCTGTGTGGCCCGTAAACCCATACACCATGTTATCTTGGTAGAGCAGTTTCAGTTTCTAGAATTCTATTTTAATATGTAATATTTCTAATACCTTTGTTGCCGAATGATGATCATGACCATTATCATTTTCACCATGGAATGGTGCTTTCGTGAGGTAACCTTGTTTAGTGATACCTTTCTCCCGCAGAGGACTAATGGCATAGCTCTGATAGAGGGATAAAAAAATTGGTTGATATTTTCACTAGAACTAACATCAACATCATTTATCATAATGATTCACCACTATCATCATCATCATCACCATCATCATCATAATTATCATTATCGGCATCATTATCATCATCATCATCATCGGCATCATTATCATCATCACCATCATTATCATCATCGGCATCATCATCATCAAGAGATTCACTCATAAGTCCGAATAAAAAACAAAGGAAAAGATAATGAGTAACAACACAAACATCCTGAACCAAGAGTGTACATGTATCAGTACCGACCATAGCCTGCCAATACTTACACTATCACCACTCTCCTCCTGGTCTACTAAGTCAACTTCATATATTTGTTCTTGAAGACCTTCTGC